GTTCCTGCAGGAAATGACCAGGGTGTGAGAATGTCCCATGGGTATGTTTAGAAACCTTCCAACTTCTGTTTCCAGTGCCTGGAATTCTCCAGTGTGACTGTTCGCAGCCAGACAGGACCTCAGTACAGCCCTGACCTCAACAGTTGGCAGTACACCAGGGTGGAGAATTATTGATTTGAGAGATTTCAGAGGATAGTCCCCTTGCCCCTGGGGTTTGTGGGAGCTGCCAAACATTGGATTTGGCTGTGGAAAGCCTTTCCTAGGCAGCCAGTTCTCTGGCCCATGATGATTACAGCCATTTTCCTCCACCATTGCTGGAAAGGCTGAGCTGGTATATAAACAGAGTGGAAGGAATGACTGAGCACAGACATACTGACACCAGTTAAACAGTTGTGATTTTTTTTCTCTTTAATCAGCACAACCCAGAGGCTCCAGGAGAAGTCAGCCTGGGCTTGTAGGCTGTAGCCCACACGGATTTGCTGTTCCCAAATGACCTAAACGAAGCTGTGCTGATGAAAGAGCCCTAGGGCTGCAGTTGAGACCTAAGAGTAGCTCCGATTGTCCCCAGTTCCAGTATCATACTAAGGTTCAGTGTCCAGGAAGCAGCTGGGAAAATTCATAGGATTCCCTTGATGTGTTTGGGATCCTATCTTACTGGAGAAATTGCTTTAGCCAGTGAGCAATAAGCTTGGTATCTCATCAAAGGTCAACTGAGCTTAATGGCTCCTTACAAAAAGCCAGTCTGCTAAGCAACAAAGTCCAGGCTGACTACATTTCAGATGTAAGGCAGGTCAACATGCACATTTCTTGGGCAGTAATCATTATAGGCTAAAATGAAAGTGATTTCTGCAGGAACTAGCAATAGTGATAGGGACAGCAAGCACACTCTGCCTGATCATGATCCCCAGAAGGCTCTAAGTCTATTGCACAGGAGTGTTTATAGTAGCAGAATGTGAATAAGTAGAGGATCTCCTCAGGAGACTGGACCTCCTTCATTCTCTAGGGACCATCCAGTCCAGGCATATCAGAAGTGGCATGTTTGTTGCCCCCATCAGCATAGATCATACAACAGCAATGGGGGTAAAGGTCAACAGAAGAGAAAGAAGGAATAGTACAAGAATTAGAAACCAAAAGCATCTCTAGAAAGCCCTTTGATAAGCTAACGATTATAGCCCTGTAAGTTATTTCTTTCGCATTTTATCTTTGCAAATTATGCTTGTCATTTTATTCTCCTTGTTTAGTCCCACAATTTGTATGTCATCAACCAGATTTTACTCCAAAACATCATTATTTTGAGTATTACAAAATCAGGCCCTGATGTTCCCCATTTCTGTCTTTTTCAAGCAGGAGGTCTCCATCACGGTTCCACCTGGCTCCCACCCCTCATGCTCATGTCACAGGGAACATCAGTATCTCAGGGCTCTCAGAGCTTTCTGACAAGTAGGACCTGGCATAGTACCTGCATCTGAGCCACTCATACAGTGTTCTCAAGTGACAGTCCAAATGTTCAAATATGGTTTCAAGGGTGCCAGTAATGGAGGAAAAATAACAAGAGGTGTTAGGAAATATCATCCATCAGTCCATCCTCATTTCCACACTAGGGGCTATGTTTCATGCATACAAATCTGCCTGGCCTGGCTACATGCTGCCTTCCCTTCCCTCAGCTGCTCAGTTCATCTGTGGCAAATGGAATAAGTCCAGTGGAGGTAGCCGTTTGCCTTGTAAATGGCAAGGGCAAAATGGAAAGCAGTGGCAGCCAGATCTGTCTCATGTAGGGATGCTGGGGCTCTCGCCTGAGCAGACTTGAAAGCAGCAACCAGCCTCAAGGTCAATGCTCTGTGCCTTCCTCCTGCTGGGTCTTCCCCAGAACACTAGGCTACTCTTTCACCTTCCCACATAGGCCATCTATTACTCTAGCTCTGTCAGCTTGAGTTCTCTGGACCATCTGCCCGTCTTGCCTCACAAATGTGATTATCTGCTAATCTGCATGGAGACAGGAAAACATCCAGCCCTCCCTCCTTGGGGGAATTTCTGTTTCTCTTCATTTGACTCATGAACAGACACTGGAGAGGATTGTACGTTTGTGAGTGGATATGAAAAGGCCAGTTCTAAACAGTTACCTTCTTTGTCAATTCTCCTTATCAAGCAAGGGACTTAGAAATGTCTCTGTCCTCTGTCTGTTCCACTGGAGAGGCCAGCCTGCTCCTCCTGACCTTGACTTCCCTTCCAGTGTTGCCTTTCCATTCTGATCCATCTGGACACGTGGCCTAGCCTTAGCTGAGTTCTCCCATAGTAAGAGAAGAAGTGAAAAGTGGGCAAAAATCCTATTCCAAAAAGGCTGAGGTCATCCACAGCCTGGCCTGTGATTATCCCTGTACTGGGAAGCGTAGGGCTGGCCCTGTGGAACCTCTCTCTCCCCCTTCCTCTGAAGACATGCCAAGAGGGGCTGCCAGTGCCTGACACCATTTGTCAAAGTGAATCTAGTGAGGCAGCTAGGCAGGCAGACAGATGTCACCAGAGAGCTTCAGAGGAGCCTCCTCCAGCCACTCACTCTTGACCAGCTGTGAGGTAGGCAGAGCAGCAGGGTTGAAGGTGCCTTGTCATGCCTTGCGTACACAAAGAGAAAAACTGAGTCCTAACTTGTACCAAATATGATGTAACATGAGGTTTTAAGAAATCTGTAATTGGGGACTTCCCTGGTGGCACAGTAGTTAAAAATCCACCTGCCAACGCGGGGGACACAGGTTCGATCCCTGGTCCAGGAAGATCCCACATGTCATGGAGCAGCTAAGCTCGTGCACCACAACTACTGAGCCTGCACTCTAGAGCCCGCGAGCCACAACTACTGAGCCCACGTGCCACAACTACTGAAGCCTGCGCGCCGAGAGCCCGTGCTGCACAACAAGAGAAGCCACTGTGATGAGAAGCCCGTGCACCGCAACAAAGAGTAGCCCCCACTCGCCGCAACTAGAGAAAGCCCACGCGCAGCAGTGAAGACCCAACGCAGCCAAAACTAAATAAATTTATTTTTTTAAAAAAAAGAAAGAGGGCTTCCCTGGTGGCGCAGTGGTTGAGGGTCTGCCTGCCGACGCAGGGGACATGGGTTTGTGCCTCAGTCCGGGAAGATCCCACATGCCACGGAGCGGCTGGGCCTGTGAGCCATGGCTGCTGAGCCTGCGCATCTGGAGCCTGTGCTCTGCAACGGAAGAGGCCACAACAGTGAGAGGCCCACGTACCGCAAAAAAAAAAAGAAAAGAAAAGAAAAACAGAAAGAAATGTGTAGCTGGAATGATGTTCTGCTGACACAGTTGCAAAGGAATTGCTGCCAGAGAGGCTGATAAATGCCCACTGGACACTGGGCAACGTTTAGACTGTTTCTCCCAGCTAACAAAAGTGATCCTGGG